CACAGTGGGATCCTTTAAGGGTTTCTCTCCATGGAGTACAACATTTATCAGGTCCATCAGTTTTGTCATTTGCTCTTTTGAATCATTATGGGATTTTTTACTTGATCAATCATCTCTTGTTGAGTCTTGATAAGTTGCTCTTGTAGTTTCTCAATTCTACCAACCCTTGCTAAAATCTCATTCATGGTTCTTATCCTTGTTTAGGAAGACCAAGTTAGCTCCACTTTGATTTCAGAAATTCTATCATGGAATTCTCCATGAATTACTCTCATGTTTTCATGTTTAAATGTATGTAAAATAGTTTAAAACCAAATGTAATTATGTAAAAATGAAAATGTAAATACAAACGTAAAAATGCAAATGCAAATTCAAATGTAAATATGTGAATGTAACAATAAAATGCAAATTGTATAGTACAAAACAAATATAAAAGTATAAATGCACAATGAAAAATGCAAAGATGCAAAATGCAAATGCATGTATGAAAAGGTGTTTACTCAAGAGTGATTATCTTAGAACAGATTTCATTGAACACAAAAGTTTCGGTACATCAAACAAAACTTTACATATAGGGATATCTTCACTTCTAACTTCTCCAAAGCCCAGTTAGTTTCCATTTATGCTCAAAAGTTGAGTCTTCAGTCTGCTTCATCTCCTTGTAAAGTCAGCTAAATTTATCATTTAAGAACCATATTATTTGTCTGGACTGCAACTTCTTCCATGACATTCTCTTTCATCTTCTGTGTTATTTCTCGGAGTTGCTCATTTTCCCTTGTAAGAGATCCTTTCTGTCCAAGAAGTTCTTGAACAAGATCTTCATATATGTTGCAGTTCTTTTTCAGCTTGGTGACCCCTGTGATCCACTCTTGTGGGTACTTCCTAGGCCAGTATTTGAAAAGCTTGACTGATTTTCTGAAAATCTTCATGCATAGTTTTCATTTCTGTGCTCAATTTCTTGTTTTGGTCGTTCAAGTCCTTCAAATAACATGCTTGAGCTTCATAAAAACCTCCACTAATCTGAATGCCCTGATTGATGCTCTTACCATAGACTGCTTTTGGTATCAATCTGGTAGGATCTTTGTGTAATACTTTTGGTATTAATATAACAGGATCTCTGTGTGCTTTGCTTGCTTCTATCCTCGGAGTTTCCTCAGGATGTCTTTCTTTGGCCGCATCATATTTTGTTTGATCATAAAACTTTTTGTCCATTTACGATTTCTTTCCAATATGATGAACAGTCTTTCCAGTAAACACCTTTTGGTTATGCCATGATCATGTAATGCAAACAAAAGAAATCAAATATAAACAAGTTTAGAGCAAACAATATGTATGAAAAAAATGAGAAGTGAAAAAAAAAAATTGGTTAGTACCAATTAATGGAAAGAAAAGATCCTATTTATCAAAGTATAAATCCTAACCTCATGCTTTCTAGTTCCATGCTTTGTTTGGAAAAATTAACCTAACTATATGATTTCTAGTTCGCAGGCATTTATTCAGAAAAAAAATAATGAATAAATTAAAAGCTAGAACTTATTTCTCCTTTGTGTACACTTACGGACAGAGGTTCAATATTGTCTTAGATCAGGTGAAGTGCTAGGGTTTATTATATGCAAGGTTTCAGATCTAAGAATAAAGGTACTCGAACTGTCCTTGTTGATGCCCCCTTGGGTTGTCAACCCTCAATCCTAGTCCATTACAGACTTAAGCGGATCGAGTTCAATTCGAGGGGATACATTTCTCTATACCTGACACGGAGAATAAATTCTCACGAAGACATAGAGCATATGAACCCCGAAAGTTACTTGCTAGGTCTGACACGGAGAATAAATTCTCACGAAGACGTCGCTTTCACTCCCACTTAAAAGGGACAACTCAATTATAGAGCTTTATGTTATGTAATGCAATTGTTGTGTGTGAGGAGAAATGTTCATACTTCTGACAAAATAAATAATGAAATAAAATAATTGCAAATAAAATACAATATATAAATATTATAAAAATAATAAGTAAATATAAAGATTTTGAAAAGAAAGAATTAAAAATTAAATATATAAATTTTTAATTTTTAATTTTTAATTAATGGAGACAAATTATAATTGATTTTTAAAAGTTTGACCATCCCCAGCAGAGTCGCCAAGCTGTCGTAACCGGTTTTCGTCCGGGCACGAAAATTTTATTTTTGGCGGGAAAATTGATGTGAATAAATGGTTTTGAAAATAATTTGGGAGTCGCCATCGGCCTTTTGGATCAGGTAGGTCGAATACCTAAAAATTATTTTTTTAAAAAAGAGTTTTAAGAAAACATCAATTAAAAAATTGAACTGATCTGCGTTTATAACCAAAAATTCATTCTTTTTAATAATAAAAAGTGGTTCGTGGTCGGTTACGTTTAGGGAAGGATTAGCACCCCTATAACGCCCAAAATTGGTACTTTTTAATTATAAATTGTCTCTATTATTAAAATTTAAAAATTCAAAAATATATTTAATTTATAATCCTATTATTTCAAAATTATATAAAAAAATATTTATTTATTTAAAAATATCAGAAAAGAACTTCTAGGTGCCTTAAGACAGCTCTTTTCTTTGATATTGATAAATATTAATTTAAATAATATTATTTACTTTTTAATTTTAAAATATCAGAATAGGACATCCAGTTGTATTAAGACTGTCCTTTTCTTCGATATTAAAAATAAATATTTAAAAATTACTATTTATTATATATATATTTATGAAAAAATATTTAACAATATAATAAAAGAAAAATACTACTAAAACAATATATTTAAAAACAATAAATAAATGAAAACATATAAAATAACTGACTAAATTACAGTAAAAATAAATCAAAAATCTAATTCATAATTAATCAAATTATAAGGATTAAATATGTTATTTCTTTATTTTATTTATTTAGTGACTAAATAAAATTATCTAAAATTCGGATATTAGAATAAAATAAATTAAAAATATAAACTAAGGATTAAAATATTATTTATTAAAATTAAGGGATTAAATCTGCTATTTATCCTAAATATATTATTTTAATATGAATGACTAAAATAAAAGAAATTAAAATTCGACAACTGAATTAAAAATATTATAAATTCAATTTAGTGACTAAAATGTAAATTTTACAAATTATGAGGACTGCGGACAGGGTTTAACTATTGTATAATTACGCGCATAGTCCTTCCCGAAACGACGTCGTTCGGGAAGGACTATAAAAGGTCCAAACCGGCTGGCCCTTCGGGCCAGCTATCTCATTTCTTCTTCTTTTTTCTCTCTCTCAAACAGAGAGAAAAGAGTTCTCTGGCTTCTCTCTAAACTGAGAGAAACCGTCCCGGTCAGCCACCGCTACCGGCTCCGACCACCGCTGCCGGCCACCGCTGATGGTGGCCGGAAATTACAAAAATCCACCAGAATATAGATCGGGACGGTCTAAAACCGTTTCCGGTGTTCTTTTTCCTTAAAAAGCTCACAATCGGAGCAGATCTACAAAAAAAATACCTTTGGTTTTCGTTGTATCCAGCGACGGTTGGGGTTCTCCGATGACAAGGTAAGCTTCTTTCCTCTCTTCTCTCCTTTTTTTTTTCCTTGCTGCGTTGATGTTGACTGAGATCGTTGGTATCTTTTAGTATATTTTTTTTCTCTGTTTTTTTTTTCTCTCTGTGTTCTCTGTCTCCTCTTTTTTTCTGTCTCTGTCTCCGGTTTTTTTTTTTTTTTTCAGGTTGGGGTGGTGGCTTTTATAGCCACCACCGTTGTAGCCGTCGGACCGGTCCGAAGAAGGGATCTCGGTGAGTCACCGGACTGCCAGTGGTGACTCACCCCGTAGCTATGGCGTGGACGGCTGGTGTTCTAGCTTCTGGAGTCTTCGGTTGGGACGTGGCAGCGGCGGAGGCGGCGAGATGGCAGCGGCGGCCGCGTGTCCCTAGGGTATCAGACCCTAGGGTTTCCATCTGGGGCAATCTGGACCGTTGGATCTCTCAGATCCAACGGCTGTGATGAGGCGGCCGGCTAGATTAGGGTTAGGAAATCCTAACTGGAACCCCAAATGTTTAGGGTTTCTTGTTTGATTTGGACCGGTTCTGGTTTGTTTGTAACTGGGTCAGTCCAGTTGTAATTGGTCTGTAATTATTTATTTATATATATTTATTTAATATATATTTAATAATAATAATAATAATGATAATAATAATAATAATAATAATAATAATATGGATAAAAAATTAGTATCTTCAGCTGGCATTACAACAGGTGTTGATCATGTTAAATTAATATTATTATTCAAATCCAGAAAGAAAACTGTTTCCAGAAGCAAAAAATTGATGGAAAAGGAAACTGGTAAGTATTGCAAGTGGCAATTGATAGAGAATTGCCAAGTTTTAGCTTTAAGCAAACAGACATCAGTGGTCAGCCTCAGCTTCAGCGTGGACACCGCCCCCCCCCCCCCCCCAAAAAAAAAAACTTCTCTCTCTCAATTCCAAGGAAATGACTTTCAAGATCAAGTGGTGCACACTCAGAAAGCAACTTCTTTTTTTTTTTTTTTGGGTTTTTCAATTTGAACAATTTTGATTCAGCGATACCCTCCATTATTAATTAAGCAAAGGATAGCATCGGAAAAACAAAAGCAGATTAGTTGTTGTTGAAATAGTCTTTCCATCGGCAATTTCAAGGCGCAAGGGCATGATTTGTTTATGTTTGGCGTGGGGACTGCTGCCAGCAGTGTTAGACAATGATTCAAAGGTCGAATCTTTTTTCTTTAAAAACATGGAATGACAAGAGTCTAAATTCTCTAGTGAGTCTCAGATTATATCTATGAGCATTAGACACAACAGCTCGTTTTGAACAGAGACAGCCTGTTCCAAGCTCTTAAGCTGATCTTTCTTTGTTTCTCACGTTCTTGACTCGCTCCTGCTTCTTCATACAATTTTCAACTTTCAAGAGACGATAAATAAATATTTCAGAGAATAAACAATAGGGTATGCCCAATGGTGGTGTTGTAGTACTCGTTTGAGATTTGGGGTGTCTTCGAAGAATATCCACGTACTACTTGGTGAGTTGCTGTCTTTTCTCCTTATTTTTATCGGTTTTAGTGGTTGAAAATGTTTTGGGTTATATCAGTCCTTAAACCAGATTAGTTTTTATTAATTGTTTCGAATAAAACGAGAACCTTGAACAAAATATGCTGAATCCTGAAGGAATCTGCTGATTATTGTTTTTTTCCTCGTTTTAATTTTAGCATCATGAAATATGGTGCTCCTCATATTGGGATTTATCCATTGATTGATTATTGTCTTACTTGCTGCTGATTTGCATCTTGTTTTTTCTTTGGTTTTGACTGATTTTAGATGCAGAACAGAAAAACAGAATCCTAATCTTTATATGATTTCTGTGCGTAACATTTATTTCTGTCTTAAGTTTTTTAGCCTATCGGTTCTTATGATCCTATCCTAGTTGGTATTCCAATCCTGAAGATTTTGATCTGTCACATTTTTCACTATGAACAGATTACATAGTGAAGTCAGGAATCGATACTAGAAGTTATTCTCGTGAAGATTCATAGTTGACACAGGAACATCCTCCGAAATTGTCATGGAAGATTCCATTTTCTCACCAGGAATGTATTTGGATTACATGGATGAATTGTTGTTAGATGGATGTTGGTTGGAGACAAGTCCAACTGAGGGGTCTGATTTCCTTAATCCTAACGTTTTCTTTGATCATGGATTCTTATGGCCATCTTCGGACTCTATTGCTGGTGATTTTGGTGGTAGCCTCATTCAAGGAGAGAATGAAATATCAGTGTTGCCTGGATATTCACATATGAATCAAACTCATTCTCAAGGTACTAATTTTAGCCACAACATGGTTGATGATGTTGAGCCAACTCATAATCTAAATGGTGATTGTATAACGGAGGCTTCTGAGCTGAGTAGAAGATGGTGGATCGGACCCAGAACTAATCAAGGTCCTTCAACCTCTGTCATGCAGAGGTTAATTGGGGCACTAAATCATATAAAAGATGTTGCACAAGAAAAAGACGTCCTTGTACAACTATGGCTACCTATAAATAAAGAAGGTAAACGTGTTCTGACGACCAATGAACACCCCTTTTCACTTGATCCCAACAGCCAAAGGCTTGCAAGTTATAGGAACATCTCTGTTAAATATCAGTTCTCAGTCGAGGAAGATTCTAAGGACATGGCAGGATTGCCTGGCCGTGTTTTCTTGAGTAAGATCCCTGAGTGGACTCCTGATGTCCGATTCTTCAGAAGTGATGAATATCCTCGAGTCGATCATGCTCAACAACATGATGTCCGTGGAACCTTTGCCCTTCCTGTATTTGAACAAGGTAGTAGGACTTGCTTGGGTGTTATTGAAGTTGTGATGACAACTGAGAAAATCAAGATTCGGCCAGAGCTGGAAACCGTTTGCAAAGCATTGGAGGTCCTTCCTTTTACCTGTTTGATCATTTTAATTAACTTGTTATAACTCTTGGAGAATTGCATTTGGAGATTATTGGCCAGTATCATGCATGTGATTAATGATTAAATTTCTAAAGGAACCTTTTTTTCTGCTTGAAGAAGCTTGTTGAGTTTTTATGCTCGTCTCTTTATGTTTTTCCATTTAGTTTTCTTCGTTTCTTTTTCATGATTTTCCACCATTTATACTGTCTTAAGCTGTTGCAATTAACTTTGTGTTTATAGTTGCATTTTGGAGCATTCAGTTTGAATCCTGATACTGCTACTTCATCCTGTTTTTCTTCATAAGCAGGCTGTCAATCTTAGGAGTTCTATAACTTCCACTACTGAAAACATAAAGGTAATTTCTCTCACCGTTTTGAAATGAACTGAATTGTTAAGTTCTCAATTTGTTCTTGCATTTAAGGATTAGCCTCACACTTTACCAGGCATGCGATCGTTCCTACCAAGCTGCCCTACCGGAGATCAAAGAAGTTTTAAGGTGTGCTTGTGAGTCGCACAGATTACCTCTGGCTCAGACTTGGGTTTCTTGTATGCAGCAAGGTAAAGAGGGTTGTCGGCATTCCATCGAGAACTACATTCATTGTGTGTCTACTGTGGATGATGCTTGCTATATAGTTGAGCCTGATATCCGGGGTTTTCATGAGGCTTGCTCCGAACATCACTTGTTAAAAGGTCAGGGTGTTGCTGGGAGAGCATTTATGACTAACCAGCCATGCTTCTCAACTGACATAACCTCCTTTAAGAAGACTGAATATCCGCTTGCACACCATGCAAGGATGTTTAAATTGCATGCTGCTGTTGCCATTCGTTTGCGATGCATTCACACTGGTGAAGCAGACTATGTCTTGGAGTTCTTTTTACCTGCCTACTGCAGAGATCTTGAAGGGAAAAAGGAAATGCTTAATTCGCTATCCAGGGTTATACAACAAGTATGCTGTAGCTTACGAGTTGTCACAAATAAGGAGCTAGAGGAAGAAACAGATTTGACAGTTGGTGAACTTATAGCCCCTTCGGACGGCATAACAAGTACAGAAGAGTCATCAAAAGAGCAGTGCACTCATCATTCAGAAAAGTATTCAAGAGAAAATCCATCTTGGACTGCAGGTCTCACTGATGTTAAACAAAGCAGTAGTAGTAGCACTAACACCACCACGGTACACAGGAAAGAGAAGGCAAGGGTGGTGACAGTGACAGATAAAATATTATCTAAGGTGAAGAGGCATCAACAACGTATTAGCCTACGTTTTGGATGTGGAGACTCTACTGTTAATGAGATAAGCTTTTCAAGTGTGGCTAAGGGAAAAACAGGAGAGAAGAGGCGCAGCAAGGCAGAAAAAACAGTCACCTTGCAAGTTCTCCGCCAATATTTTGCTGGAAGTCTAAAAGAGGCAGCGAAAAGTCTTGGTGGTAAGTATCTGTGGATGTTTCGGTTTAGCGTAGGCTTGATAGATAAACAGCCTAACGTTTTGTGCTTAAAAGAAGTTACTGTTGAAAAATGGAGACAAAAAAGGTTAAGGGCTTAAATCAGCATGTCACCATGTTTGTTGCTATTTTCTTTCTGTTAGTTTTCTGGTATCTGTATGTTTCGTAAAGTATAGATATATAGCATGGCATGATATACTGATGAAAATAAATGTAAACTGTTGGCTATTATTTCTCTATAGTTTGATGTCATTTACTGTTTTCTTTCAATATTTTTCAGTGTGCCCCACAACCTTGAAAAGAATCTGTAGGCAACATGGAATAAAACGCTGGCCATCTCGAACTATCAAGAAAGTTGGACACAACTTACAGAAACTCCAACACTACATTGATTCAGTACAAGGTGCCTCTGGTGCTTTTCATACGAGTGCCATGCACCCAAACTTCCCAGAGACGGCTTCTCCAAGATCATCAGGAAAGAGTGCATTATTGGCCTCAAACTCGGGGATGAATGGCAAGCCAAAGCAAACAACCTTACAGCCCGAGGGTGGTAATTTTGGTTCCCAAGCTGCTACTTCAAATTCACCTTCCGCCTCATGTAGTCAGAGTTCCGATTCAAGTCATACTTCTTCTTCTGGGACGCATCAACTTTCAAAATTTAACATGTCCAGTAATGAAGGTCTTATAATAAGAGAGAAATCTGGGGATGGTGAGCTGAAAAGGATTACAAGTGAAGCAGAGCAGCACACCTCAAGTCATGGACTCAGCTTTAGATCACAGAGCCTTACATATTTTAAGGAACAGGTTGCCCCTGACAGCATTCATCCCATAATTACAAAGAACACCAATCCAATTGCTCAGGATTTGGATGCTCAAAGGGTAAAAGTCACCTATGGAGATGTGAAGATACGTTTCCGCATGCAAAGTAGATGGCAATTTAAGGATTTAGTGCATGAAATTGGAAGACGGTTTAATATAGATGATATAGCTGGATTTGATCTCAAGTACTTAGATGATGATTCTGAGTGGGTCTTATTAACATGTGATGCTGATTTGGAGGAGTGTATTGATGTGAATGGATGGTCTGAGGGCAACACAATTAAACTCTTATTACAAGTTTCTCATCGCCATTTGGAGCAGTCTTCAGGCAGCACAGCTCCTTCTTGATCTGAAGTACCGCCCATATGATTCAGATTCGGTTCCAATCGAGAAAACAATGTTTTCGAGAACAGGGATCTCAATTGTTGAATGCATTGGTGAAGGAAAAACTCGTTTCTGACTTCCTTTGCATATAACATTGGAAGAAGTAAAATAAAGGAGCAAAAGAGAACTTTCCAGGAAACACTGTAATAGGATGGGGAGAAGTGAAGTTGATGCCCTGGATAGCTATTTTCAGCCACGTTTCCCATGTAATATATTGCATCAGGACAAGAAGATATCTCCAAAGGTAGGCTAGTAGAACAATGAATGAATGAGCCTTTTTCTAACCTTACCTGTACGATATTCACAACGCATGCTATTGTTTCCTTAGTTTACCAAGAACAATGCAAGTCAACTTTTATATGATGAAAACTATGATTCTATATTATCAAGATATTACTTGCTTTGTGGATGTACATGAAAAACATTGCTGATTAAATAAGATTAACAAAATGTTCCCTGCTTGGATCCAGAGTGGAGCAGAGGAAGGAGACAATTTAACACTGATCTAGAATTAAACACGAGAAGTGCATATATGCGTAAGAACAATATTTATGATTAGTACCACTAGTAGCATTTCTTTGCTACCCAACAACTCAAAATATAACAAGATGTTAGATGCCAGATGTTGGCATATAAATCTATAATTTTTAACCTATGAAAGAACTTGATATATATCTAGTTGAGGAACTACTGCGCCTTAACAGACCTTCCAATGAAGAATACAGTAAGTAAATTCATATACGGGCCAAGACCTAATATTGCAATTAGCGCACACATGCCAGCCACATCATATGGTAAGTGTTGGTTAATTATCACAGTTGCAATGCTAAATCCGGGAGCTGGGGTGAAGCAATTGGCACACTAGAACTAGGTGAAACAGGTGCCAGGAATCTCACATTAAGATCAGGGGCAAATGGAAGTAAATCCTTCTCATTATAGGAATTCCGCAGAAGCCCGACATTAGTTGCCGCATGCAACCCCATTTGAGACAAATAACCAACCCCAGACACACCAATAGAACCATTGAAACCAGAGTGTGGTAAAAGTCTTTGCTGAAACTGATGAGACGGTGCAGAAGCCAAATCATTTTGAGAAGTTAGACCACTGACAGTTTCTTTGTCTTCTTTAACTCGCAAAGGAGTTATACTTGCGGCAATGGAGTTTGAACTAGAAGTAGCTGCAGATAAAAATATGCCAGGAGTATTATCGGACGGAGGATTTGAAGATCTTTGCTTGTCAGAGAAGGAAAATTGAGGCTGCCCAACCGTCCTGTTTTCTCCTACCCATCCAGGACCAAACTTGAGCCCGGTAGGCAAAACACTTTCAATTTTTCTTGAAGCAATTTTCCAAACAACAGGTCCAAGATTTGCAGCAAAACGTGCCAAGCTTGTAGCATAACCATTTTCTGCCCTCAAACCAACCTGATAGAAATCAGAAGGGGGAAAAAGGTTACCACTTACCAATGGATGCAAACATAATTGACACAAAATAAAATTGAGATAAAAAAAAAGTAGTTGTCAATGTGGTTGCCATATCATATAAGGGATCAAGCAGTCTATTCTTCCGGTGATCTGGATAGTTTTCTATTCTCTATAAACACTAGTTGTCAGAATATTCAAAAACCCTTTTGGATAGACATATAAACATATAATAGGATCAAATCACCAGAACAAACCTATCTATACTTGCACCAGAACGTTTTCATGCAATTTATTATGACAGTAGGGTGGAAAAGGTCGACCAAACATTCCATCTTATAGCTCATTATTAATCCATTAACTAATGCATTAATGACCATTATTTGCAGCACACACACCGGAACTAGTTGCTTCAGTTCTCCATCCAAGGTGGAAAAGATATGTTGCTCATGTCCAGAAGTCAACGAATGGTTGTAGGAGTCCCGCCTGTTCTCATCTACTGCAAAATGTTTCATCCCATACTTCATCACAGCCTTCACAACAGAAGCTACAAAATGAGAGAAAAAATAGCTCAATATGAATATAAAAAACATGCAGTAAATAACATTTCACATTTAAAAAGGTTAAGAATCAGACTGTTAAAATAGCGAACCTGGAAATTCATTCTCCCATTCAGTTGAACAGCTGGCATAATTTTCTTTGCTAGGAGAACCCCAGGAGGACCTGATTAATGTATCAGCAGGCCATAGCTTGCGGGAAGTACGTTCTTTCCTCAAATTGTAAGTGTTTGAAAGGCTGGAAGCATCTCTACCAGCAGCTAGAGTTGCATTTGAGGGATGCTCAGAACCAACACTGTCAAAAGATGATGACACCAATGACTTTTTGAGGCTCTTTCCAGGTGGTCTTCCTCTCCTCACAACTTTAGGTTGGGGTTCACCTTCATCACTATCTTGCCTCAAATCCCCAAAGTCATTTTTAGCCAGATCTTGTATTGATCGTGCCTAACAAACCACTTCAGATGTTTAAACTAACAGAAACCAGAGTGTCGTGACAAAGGAATTAATACAACTAAGACCTAAACAAACCTGTCGAAAGTAAATTGTATCCGGTGCATTATACTGCATTGCATTCGAGCATATTAGAAAAACATCCATCTGCATGGGAAAAAAAACTCGCATATTTCATTTCTAGTTCCAGAAACATCAGGTATCATGCCAGAAAAGCATATGCAAGAAACTAAATCCCAAAAACAAAGTTTTGTTACATGTTTGTAAAAACTAAAGACTATCCTCAATGGAAAAGTCCAGTGCATACATACTGACTTGAAAATAATTTCAATGGGAATTTCATCTTCTCGGTTAACCTCAAAAAGCAACTCACAGCATATACAGTTGTCTGCTAGGGAAGATAATGATGTTATGATCCCAAGCTAAACAAAACAAGTTCAGCAATAAAATTCACAAATCATGGGCATTTCCAATTGGATTCTACGTCATATAAACATTGATATAAAAGGGCAAATAGAAATACGAAATACATACAAAGAATATAGTGCAGTACATGCTTAGTGAAACAAATTAAATTGTAAATAACTCATAGGATATGCAGGGGCTGAGAATTATTGTAATTGGTTTATGATTGTGTATTTTTTTCACAGGCATTGTAGCAAAAGTTTGCTGTTAGTTGGAATAAAGCTTACTTATCCAAAAGCCAAATTAAAGAATTTTGAGGCTTAAGTGACTAAAATGCTATAACAGACAACTGGACTTAAAATGACAAACTAAAACATTATAGCCAGCAACATTGCCACTTAATCAGCATATTCATTCTACAGAATACACAAATCAACCAAATCCAGAAAAACAGAAACTTAAACACCATTAAAGGTAGAACAGTCAAACAACTTAATCAGACATCCCTCTCCACCTCGCCTGAGAGTAGACAGATAGATGAAAATTGCATCCATATTAGCAAAGAGAAGGCTTGCAAAACAAACCTCAAATTGTTCCAAGGTAGTATAAGCTCCACCATCAAGTTTTTTCCTGACAGTCAAAAAGTCCATTGGGTGTGCAATAATGCCATGGTAATCAGGAAGCTGTATCGAGTAACAATCCAACATTATCTCATGAACTGGGATTTCTCTTTCCAATAATCTACATTATGCAAGAATGAAAATGAAAATCCACCTCTTCAGGATCCACTGGCTCTGAGAATACCCCGTAAGTGTCTTTCCTGTAGAAACAATCAAAATCCAATAAACATAAGATAGAAAGAAAAACAAATGAACCAAAAAATTTTAAAATAAAAATATTACTTTTGAAGCCTGTCAAGAATGAACACCAACAACTTTTTGTCTGGCAAAGGAGTCGTGGGGCCAGACTCCACCGGTGACCCTGTCCACAAATAAACCACAAAATTAGTTTATTTACCAAAACCCAAAACCTCTTTTTCTTTTTAAGAATCCCCAGAAATGCCTTTTTCATGAAAACCGAGATTGATTTATACCATGAAGAGTGTCTGTCGCTTTCGGTAACTTTTCTTCCTGTAAATAAGATAAACTCTCGTATCAATAACAAACATATATATATATATATATTGGAAGAGATATTGGCCTTGATTATTTTCCTTGATCAATGAAGAATCAGTGAGGAAAGTTACAGTAAAAATGCTACAATAATGCAGAACAAGTACCCAAAAGAAGGACTTCGAAGTATAATTAGTAAAGCAAAAGACAAAATGAAGTTTGTCAGAATGATGGTCTTTGCATCTATTGTTTTGCTCAAAAATAAAGGTCGGATTAGATGGCAGACAATAAATTATAAAATAGTAACGGAAAAATCGTAAATCAGGAAAGAAAAGAAAACTGTGCTCAACCCAACCCGTTCATTCATCTCCGTTTCAATTTCCAATTATAAAAATTCGGCGCACGAAAGTTCGAAACCCAAAATATAAACACTAAAAATAAAATATCCAAAAAAGCAGGAAAATCATTTTTTTGTTTCTATTTTTAAAACAGCGCTTCAGAAAACCCGCGAATATAAATATATATAAATGTTTTAATGTAGGATTAATCACCGTCTGGTCAGATCCAGGCTTGACAGTGGTGAACTTGCGACGTTTGAATGACGCGTCGGGTTCGTCACCATCCGCAATAGAATCAGATCCAGGGGAGGCCGAATTGTGCGCCAAAGCAATCGAATAATGCTGATGAGTACCGGAAGAATTGAAGCCAACCAATAGTTTATGCTTCTTCTGTTGGCGGTCATCGTCGTCGTCGTCTCCTCCGGAAACCGGGGAGCCACCGTTGAGATTGGAGTGGCGGAGAGAGGACCGGCGGGTCAAATTGATCGAAGAATTAGGGTTAATGTGATTAGGGTTTTTTTGTTGCGGTTGCTGTGGCTCCTGCAATTTTTGTTTGAGAGAACGTTTTTGAAGTCACACCACCACCACCCATTGTCTCTTTTTTTCTTTTTTTTTTTGCTCTCTAAACAACCTTTGGTTTCATTACTTCGTTTATACCAGTTTTGTTATACAGCCACGTCACCTTTGTCAATCAAAGATTGATAAAATTGAAAGATGGATGATCAAAATAAAAAGGAATAGTAATTCAATGATCATTGATATAATTTGCTTTCTTTTTATTGTTACTTTTATTAGGAACAGAGGGGTAAAACACAAGATGCAAGCATGGAGGGGAAGTCACGTGAAATGGACGGAAGTACACGTGCCCAATACTCACGAGAAAGTGTGAGGGGCAAATTTCATTTTCTATGTACTTGAAAAATGAAAATTAGAAAATACAAAGATAATTTATGTTTTCCACAAACCAAGCCTCTAGTAGATAGCAATAAGCTGCAAGCCTACAAATATTAGTTTTTTTTCTTTCAAATCAAAGTTTATGGCATAAATAATCGTAGAAGTCGCATGATAAACGATTTACATTAAATCTTGATTTAAGCTGTGTTTAAATCAACCCTAATAATCCACGTCTAAACTCTTAAAGCATAACATCGATCCCACGTCTAATCTCTGGAGAATTCTATTACAACCCTTGAATACTTCAACTCGACACTTTTTGTTTTATCCCTTTAGATGATGTTGCTGGCAGGGATGGTGCTTCTGAATCAAATTGGCTGGTATCATTCGTGTCATTATCTTCCTTATTCACACCAACTACATCTTGCAAAGGAATACCATCAAGTGCTCCTTTGCCTATGAGCTACCCAATTGACCCCCCCCCCCCTTTAGCGCCTATCTTTTCTCTATCTTTAGCAAAAAGCATCAACTTATCGTAATTAGCAATTCTTGTAGTCATCCATTTTTTGCATCAGTTTTGACTGGCAAACAAGTAAGCATAATAGGTGCAGGAAATTAGTTCCATTAATTAATAGAATCAATTAAATAAGGCAGATAATTTGAACAATAATACTCCACCAACCTTCACTAGTGCTTTCCAATGTTCAGGCTTAGCAGTCCACATTTTAGTGTCTAGACTCCAAGCAAAACCACTTCTGCACTTGAAAAGGTCACAACACTCGAAAAAGTCATGCTTCAGAGACTTTATTCGATTTTTCAGGTGACCTTTCTCAATTGGTATCCCAATCTTTTCATGCAATTCATTTACCATATTTTCATATGCCATTGTAGTGAAGACCTTACCAACCCTGTTTCCCAAACTCTGTTGGTGTAAGAGAGCATCATGAGGACATAATCCATAGGCTGTGTCCACTACAAAACATCCCTTTTAATAATATTCTTAGATTTACCAATTATGCTTACCTGCACAGTCAATAAGATCTTCGGAATGATAACAATTGAAGGCATTATGCTCATCTAATTATAGGAAAGAATCAAATACAACCAGGTAGTTAAACAGGATTAAGAATAGATCTTCACTTCAAATGATTAACCGAATAAAAATAAAACACCGTCAAAAATAGAATCCAGAGGATGTGTATGAATTAACAAAAAAGAAACACATCCCCTTTTAAAAGAAACTGAAGTGCACCCTTAGATATGGGTATTTCCTCAATGTGCATTCTGTATTATAGCAATTAGCGTTTTTGCTTATGATTTGCTTTCATCCTTTACACCTAGCAGTAACCCTAAATAAAATAATATGCTACCATTATAGTGTATTAGTGTAAATTGTAGCACTAGCACTCATGCACCATACATAACCCAAGTTGATCAAAGGTCGTTGACAACTTATTCCTCAGCCTATACTAAGCATTATCTATAAAAATAGTACAACAGTAGAATACACAATAGAGAAAATAAGTAAACATACACTAATAAAATATGAGTCACCTAGTTCTTAAAAAGTGAGCCCGGCTTCAGATTTTGAAGCAACAAGGCAGGCTAAATACATAAATCAGATCAAATAATTATTTGTTTTAAAAAGAAGACAAAAAAATGGATGGATGAAAGAAAATGGCCTATTGTAATTTGTAATATTTGGTACAACGAGAAGGGCATTAGGGCATACTTCTCAACAGGTAAACTTACCTGAAGTTCAGAGATCAAGTGTAAGCATCATGCGCCCTAGCTTCGCACCACAATTTAAAAGTCATAACTATCATTTGATGAATTAATTAGTTATTTAAACTCATATCAGGATGAACATAGATGAAAAAGATTCCCTTGAAGGGATATGGAGCCATCGTTTATTTCCATTTAGGAAAAAATGGTTAAGCCATGGCTTCAAAATTTGAAGCAACAGGACACCCTAAATGCACAAATCAGATCAAAGGAATATTTTTCTTTTAAAAAGAAAACAAAAGACTAGAAGGGGAATGAAAATGATCTATTCTAATTTGTACAATGCAGTGCAATCGGAAGTGCATCAGTACATATATTTCTCAACAGGTAAACTTACCTGAATTTCAGAGATCAAGTGTAAGCATCACGCGCCCAAGGTTTGCACCACAATTTAAAAGTCATAACAACATTTTACACGGATTCCTTTTTCTCCCTCATCCCACCACCAACAATTTAATGACAAATAACCAAAAAATTGCATTACCGTTTGTACATAATGAGATGAAAAATATAAACCGGAAGCACAAATCTATAATCATTAAGTGAAGGACTAACCAAATAAATGGTTAGCTAGAAAGAAGAGCACTTTGATAAACAGTAGTCTTACATGCGCACATCCAACTCTTATTTTTGGGTCGTGGTATCGAATCCCATAAAGGACATTTTATAATTCGAAGGTTTATTACAGAAGCTACTCTCAACCATTGGAGCAGTCTACTATCCTACCTCCCCTTATCTCATTACATATGAGAATAAGAGTCAGTTAATTTAAGGACAAAACCGCTATTGTAAACAAAATACGCACCCTTTAGCAAAAAGAGGTTCGTCCATAGTCATAATACACAAAACATCCCTCAAACTTGACATTAATTTAATGAGACCAATGACCAGGTGAGCAAATGGAATTAAGAAACCCTAATTCCGATAAGAGGGTCGGGTAACAATAATAGCAAGTAATAAAAGGAGAATAAGAGATTCAGAGAATAAGAGCAGGACGAAATCAAAGGATTAATAGATGAAAGAAAACCTGTTTAAGGACTGGAGAGGGCCGGCGAGCTGATCTTCGTCTGCATCGATTGGAAACTGAAGCCTGGCAACTACAGGTAGTAGGGCAGAGAGCACCTGATGGACCCCGAGCAGGGGGGGGACCAGTAAAAACTCTTAACTGATGTAATATTACGGTACGGGCCTTTCTATTAAAACCATGTAGTATTGCTCTCACAAGTCGGCCCATTTTTCTCATGTCTATTTCTAAGATTTTGTCTCGTCGTTTACCGAAAATTCCAAAATCAAAAGAAAGAGTTAATTGCGTCTCGTTTCAAGTTATGAATCAAATTTTTAATTTAGTCTTTAAATTTTAAAAGTATTATAATTTAATCTTTAAGCTATTCATATCATTTCAACAAGTTTTTATATTAATTTAACAAATTATTTTTACATTAAATGTCTACTTATATATATATAAAGTTTAATAAATTTTAAATATTCTACAATATTGTATGAAAAATTTAAATCTAATATGTTAAAATAACCTAACCAAATTTTAATGATTATTTTTTACATGACAGATTCAAACTGTCCATATAACATGCGCATACATATTTAAAATTTGATTCAAAAAATTTTAAATATGCTCTACACTAAACTTGAATCGACGTTTAATGCTTAAAAACTAACAGAATGACATGCTTGAAATGATATTGATAGTTTGAGACTAATATATAATGTTTCAAAGTTTATGGACTATTACAAAAGCTGGTCATAGTTTGGGGAAACCTCATGCAATTTAACTCCAAAAGGAATAAAAAAGACGAGAATAGAAAACAAATAGAGCAGACAAAAACTATAAAATTGGCTCCCAATTTTCTATGCATAAAATCTATGACATTTACAACAATGTTAGTATTTACAAGCCCCTTGCTTATAAAATCAATAATCAGTGTTTATAATATTAATATATTAATCGTAGCATAAATCATAATATTAATTAACAAATATTTATACCAATAATTAATATTATAACATTAATTAAAGCTATAACACTCATTATTTATAATTAAAGTATTTTTTTATAAAACAAATATAATTATATTCAACGTAATTTATACCAAACATTCTTTGCTAGGATTACTTCCCATTGCAGATGCGTATATGAAGACTGTTCAACTATGTATTTATTTATTTTACATGCATTGCATTTTATCTTTATTTTTAATTTTCTGACTGTCGGATGTCTTCCATAGAATCTGCTCTCAATCCTGACATTGGGGGCAGCCTACTACCCTACCTCCCCTTACCCCATTGCATATGGAAATAGGGTTTTGTTATTGTTGTTGTTGTAATTATATATTTAAAAAATTAATCAAATGCTTAAGTTGGAATTTTAGCTGTACATGAGAGGTTTTATTAAATTTTATGGGATATATTGATATTAAAATCAATGATCAGTGAGATGATATTAAGTTCAATTGCGCTGTCGTCCTTCAAATAGAAAAGATTGAATTGCTCTGGAAATGAAAATTAGAGGATGGGCTGAGGGCTTCGGCATTGGCATTGGGCATTAACCATTGATAATTGGGCTACAATTTAAGATTCTATTCAACAGAACTGGACTGGGCTAGATAGCGCGTCCAGTACTGTTCTTTTTTGATAAACAATGAGAATAATTTTATTCTGAAAGTTGATTAGTAAGATTAGATAATATACCCTTGAGATTAAAATCAATGAAAGAATGAGTATCTAGATTTACTTGTCACAGTAATAGATAGAGAGATTTATAACTATTGTGAATATTAAAAAACATATATCTACAAAAAAATATTTTATTATATATACTGTATAGATAATAAGAAATTATTTGAATTATTTCCATGCCAATTAATAATTTTAATATCAAATAACTAATTATTTTATTTAATATTAATTTCATAAATATAAAATATATATAATGTATAGTAAAAAAATTTAATAAATTTAGGGTCAACTGCATAAATGACCACCTAACTATGGGGCTTGGTCTCAAAATGACCATCACTTTTAAATTTGCAACAATATGACTAGTGGAATATTTAAATGATTTCAATATTGCCATGTCTTTAACATTTAACGGAAATGTTTATGAGACAATTAACAAAATTGGTATAATTGGAGTGTGGGTCCTTGTAAAGTTATGTATTCGTGGTGCTGGCACCCTGCTTTGTTTTCTTCCATTTTGGTCACTACTTTTATATGATTTGTTTCCTTAAATTTTCATTTAATGCAATTTGATTCTGATTATATTTTTAATAAATAGGCTAAATCTAATATTTAGGAAACAATAAAAATATTTTTATATATATTATATATAGTTAATGATAGAAATAAAAATAGACAAGTGAGGACTAAATATAGGCCAATTGATAATATTTATATTTATTTATTAATGATTATATATATGAAATTATATTAAAAATTAAATTAAAAATTTATTGAACATACCTGAATTCCTAAGCACAATTTAAAATCAACAGATAAATTTATAATTTGAATCTTAAATATTTTTCTTATGATTATAATTTGAATATTAAATTATTTTTAATGATTTCATATATATAACCATTGAAAATAAATATGAAAACAATAAATTTAGTTTAAAAATATGAAAAAATAAATATTTAGTCAAATTCTCAATTGATCTAGATGTAAGTTCTCACTTATCCATTTTTATTTTTTTATCATTAACTATAATATATATATATATATATATATAATTTCTAAATATTAGATTTAGCTTATTGGTTAAGGCTTGCTTGGTTACTAGTTCATTTTGAGTTCAAATCTAATTACATTATTTTAATTTTTTTTGTATAAACTTGAACAAGTTATATAACATAGGTATTATCTCAATAACAAGCGTGAGAATTAGTTTAGTGGTTAAGGCATGTGTAGGTTGCCCTTGGAACCCAAATTGAATTTCCTTGGGTGTCAAAACTCATCTTCAATTATTGTCACTTCAATTCAAAATGTGACACATGTCACTTTTTGTTTGGATTGAGAATTTATTAAATTAAAATTAAAAAAAACCCTCTAATAAGATTGTAACATGTGTCACAATTTGATTGAAGAAATAAATTTATTAATTTAAATTGAAATTAGGACCTTATTAAAAATTAATAATTAAAGCTAATCTTGATGGTCAAATTGATTAATTCTAAAATCTAGGGGATTTAATCTATAAATTTAATACATGATTGAAGAAATAAAAGATTTTAAAGTTAATGCTTAAATTAAGGCATTAGACAAATTAAAAACAGAATCATGATCAAATTGCATTAAATGAAAATCCAAGGAAGCAATGGATGAAAACAAAGTAGGGTTCCAACACCACGAATACGTAACTTTATAAGGAATTGTGCCCTAATTATACCAATTTTATTAACTGCCACATAAACACTTTCATTAAATGTTAACAACAGATGACTATATTGAAACCATTTAAATAATTATGTAGTCATATTGACACAAATTTAAAAATAGTAGTCATCTCAAGACTAATTCCATAGTTTGGTGGTCATTTATGTAGTTTACCCATAAATTTATTAGTATGTAATATGAGATCTATTATGATTTTGTTTCTAGTTATAATAGTTAAAACAAAAGTTTTAAAATGATAGAATAATTTTTGAGTGAGATAACTTTTCTAAACTCTAGTTAAAACTTGGCGGTGCAGTGTGGTGAGATACTGTAAACGTGCCTCACCACACCATTAATGTTTCAAATATAAAATAACTTCTGTGAGAAAATACCCTATCCTAAGATTCGATCTCATTGAAGTCAACTCTATATATTGCACTTGCACAATGTACAATATATGACCAACTAGTGAGAATCCTAGTAAAATTAATAAAGATATGTCAAGCCGATCAGTCATTAATGTTACCTCAGCTTCATAACTTGGACTGGGGTATGGTAAGTCCATAATTGCAGCTATATTTACCAGACTCAACATACTCTATTCATCAAAATGCACATCCCGCTAGCTTCCCCACATCTTATCAAGCGAGGGTTTTGTAAAGAACAAAAGATAGCTATACGCAATTGACATGATTATGTCCAACCCTATCTCCTGGAAAGTTTTAGCTGCAACATAATAGATATAAAAAAATTTAAAAAAAAGGTTCGGAATGGAGAGTGTGATTCATAGCGCAAAGCATTTGTGTCTAACCTTCGATCTTGTAGTCCTACATCCTCCCAAATCCGACTGGTTGGGGGAATATGCAAACTTATCAATGAAATTTAAATTGGCAGTCTTCTTCGTGCTTCAGACATTAACCTGTAACAAACCCTATGTTAATTTTAGCAAAGAATTCCAAAGGGCAGTATGCGATATAGCGCCTAATTGGAAACTTATCTTGCATGACTGCTGAGTGGATGAAGGCAATACTATAAAATTTCAGCATTTTATCCGTAAAATTCACAGTTGTCTTATAATGGCATATACACAAGAGGTCAATGGTGGAAGAATCATTAGGCCCAGTTGTCATAACGTCTACGCCCGTTAGACTTAAAAAAATTAGTTTTGGGTTGAAAATAATTTAATTTTGGAGTCGTCACCAACCATTAAGTTAGGTACGTCAGAAACCTTAAAAGAAAAAAAATGGTATGCGCTTTACCAAAAATTTATTTTTAAGAGTTCGGGAGTCAATTACTTGTGGGGAAGGGTGAGCACCCCCACAACTCCCAAAATTTTGGTACCTAAACGATTAGATGTTGTTTAAATATTGGGAATTACAAACTCGAAAACATATTTAAATTACGATCCTTCTATTCATTTGACTTTATTCAAAAAGTGTCAATTTTCGGATAACAAATGCCCTTTTGTGTGAACAATCCCCGAGAATGTATTTCCTTTGTAGTTAGGAGACTTTCCCACAGATTCCCCTCACAAAAAGACATTATTTCACATTTTTCACAAAAATAAAATAAACTAAAATAAAACAAAATGAAAATGAAAATAGGTAAAAAAAAATCAAAATAAATAAACGTAAAGCAAAGAAAACTATTGAATAAAAACATTTGTGCGAAAAATCCTCGAAAAGATACCTTCCCTCGTAGTTGGGAGATGTCTTCGTAGATTTCCCTAATAATAAAATTTTCC